CACTAACACTGATACCCATAGACTCACTAACACTGCTACCTATAGACTCACTAACACTGCTACCCATAGACTCACTAACACTGCTACCCATAGACTCACTAACACTGCTACCCATAGACTCACTAACACTGCTACCCATAGACTCACTAACACTGCTACCCATAGACTCACTAACACTACTACCCATAGACTCGCTAATACTGCTCCCCATAGACTCACTAACACTGCTCCCCATAGACTCGCTAATACTGCTCCCCATAGACTCACTAACACTGCTACCCATAGACTCACTAACACTGCTACCCATATACTCACTAACACAGCTACCCATAGACTCACTAACACAGCTACCCATAGACTCACTAACACTGCTACCCGTAGACTCACTAACACTGCTACCCATAGACTAACACTGCTACCCATAGACTCACTAACACTGATACCCATAGACTCACTAACACTGATACCCAGAGACTCACTAACACCGATACCCATAAACTCACTAACACTGATACCCATAGACTCACTAACACTGCTACCTATAGACTCACTAACACTGCTACCCATAGACTCACTAACACCGCTACCCATAGACTCACTAACACCGCAACCCATAGACTCACTAACACTGCTACCCATAGACTCACTAACACTGCTACCCATAGACTCACTAACACAGCTACCCATAGACTCACTAACACAGCTACCCATAGACTCACTAACACTGCTACCCATAGACTCACTAACACTGTTACCCATAGACTCACTAACACTGATACCCATAGACTCACTAACACTGATACCCATAGACTCACTAACACTGCTACCCATTGACTCGCTAACACTGCTACCCATAGACTCACTAACACTGCTACCCATAGACTCACTAACACTGATACCCATTGACGCGCTAACACTGCTACCCATTGACGCGCTAACACTGCTACCCATAGACTCACTAACACTGCTACCCATAGACTCACTAACACTGCTACCCATAGACTCACTAACACTGCTACCCATTGACTCGCTAACACTGCTACCCATAGACTCGCTAACACTGCTACCCATAGACTCGCTAACACTGCTACCCATAGACTCGCTAACACTGCTACCCATAGACTCACTAACACTGCTACCCATAGACTCACTAACACTGCTACCCATAGACTCACTAACACAGCTACCCATAGACTCACTAACACAGCTACCCATAGACTCGCTAACACTGCTACCCATAGACTCGCTAACACCGCTACCCATAGACTCACTAACACTGCTACCCATAGACTCACTAACACTGCTACCCATAGACTCACTAACACAGCTACCCACAGACTAACACCGCTACCCATAGACTCACTAACACTATTATTATTCAATTTAATAATAGTAGAACACGATTATATTATTATTTAATTTAAAAATAATAGAATCATATTCTATTATTATTTAAAAATGAAATTAAATCATAACAGAATAGTATTCTATTATTTAATTTAATAATAGCAATACTATATTATTAAATTAAATAGTAATAGAATACGCTTATATTATTATTTAATTTTAAAATAACAGAATAATATTCCATTATTATTTTAAAATAAATTTAAATCATAACAGAATAGTATTCTATTATTTAATAATAACAGAATACTATTCTATTATTATTTAATTTAATAATACTATTATCTTATTTTGTAATGACAATTCTTTAATAATAGAATAGTATAATATTAATTAATAATTATGCAATTTAATATTAATATTTAATAATAATACAACACTATTCTGTTATTATTTAATTTAATAATGGAATACGATTGTATTATTAAATTTAAGAATAGAATACTATTATATTATTTAATGATAATTATTTAATAATACCAGAATACTATTCTAGTGTTTAACTTAATAATTATTTAATTTCATATTATTATTGAACTAAATAATAGAATACTATTCTATTATTTAATTTAATAATAATAGAATACTATTATATTATTTTATTTTCTCCGGGACTTTACCGAAAGAACCAAAGAGTCATTCCTGCAGTCACGACAAAGCTTCGATTCGAGTTGATCCCCCGTGTAGCCTTTAACAGGCTCGTGGGGCAAGTGCTCTTTCGCGAGCACCTTTGAAGGCCGGCACGTCACACACGAGGGGGTGGGCGGCCAGCACCACCACGCCTGGCCGCCTTTGTCTCCCCCAGTGGCGATGTCGACACATCGCACCGGGTACTCTCGTGTGATGCCGATTTGACCTCGGGGAGGCCCGGGACAGGTTGAGATGAAAATCGTCACTGGCGTTGGCCGTGAGCGGGAATCGAACTCGGCTCGCCTGGATCGCAGCGTAGCGCTAACCACCGCTACCCCGAATCACCACTGGAGTTCACGTCTTTGCTTGACGTCTCATCTCAACAGTCATTTATGGAGCGCCTTGCAGGCAAGTAGGCGCCTTGCAGGCAATTTTGAACGGTACGTATAAACACGTAGGAGGCTTTCACGTCCAATATCCATCATATAGGGGGGGGGGGGGGGGGGGGGGGGGTGTTTCTGGGTTAGATTGCGTAAATAACGACACGTTTATAAATTTGCGCCATCTGAAACCCCCTCCCCCCCCCCCCCCCCGAAAAAACCCCACCGTCTGTTACGGACGTATGAACGTAGCGGGTGAAGATGGGGTGAACGCCAACGGACGGGAGGAAGCGATGGGGGCGAATCTGTGATGGCGCGTTGTGCATTAGCTCAAAATCTTAAAATGAGAAGCACAGGGCGATGTGAGAGAGGTGACGGAGAGAGGCAAGGCCACGGAGGGATTCGTAGATACGAGGATTGAGGAATTTGAAGGGGGGGGGGGGTGGTGGGCACAGTGGTGAGATGTTAACTACCTCGCCTGGTATGCAGGAGGTCGTGGCTTCGATCCCGACCCTTCGACGCCCGCCGCTGCTGTACATTTGGAGTTTGCGGTGCGTCTCTCTTTCGCTCCGTCTCCCCGCCGTTGCGGGGATTTGTCTGCGCGTCCTCCGTTTGCTTTGTCTCCTCAACTTGTAAAACTTTGCGTTTAGAGCGGTGGTCACTTAACCCCGGGGTGCACGCATCTCCGGCGGGAGGTGACAAGCAGAGCCCGGATTAAGGCACCGCAGGATGCCCTCCAGAGCTGAAGCGAAAAAAGTGATTTCGTTTGTGAATGCTGAATTGTATGTCGTTAGCCTTGTAAAAAAAAATATACATTTAATTTTTCTTCAAGTTTTGTTTTCCTTTTTGGAAATATTACTGGGGGGGGGTGGGGGGCTCACAGTACCTGTCGCTCAGGGGTCCGGTCCTGGGTGCGAGATGCACTTTCTGAGAACCAAAGGGGGTTTAGGGGGGGCAGGCTGCAGGTTAAGAACCACCGCGTTTACAGTAGTTGTCTGTTGCTGCTGCGATGAATTTCCACGCGACGATGATGAACCGGGTCGCTTCTGAAAAGGGAGCTACACTGATAACATCTCGTAACTTTGATGATGGGGGCGGGGGTGGTGAGAGGGGGGGGGTGAGAGAGAGGGGGGGTGAGAGGGGGGGTGAGGGGGGGGTGAGAGAGAGGGGTGAGTGAGAGAGGGGGGTGAGTGAGAGAGGGGGGTGAGAGAGAGGGGGGGTGAGAGGGGGGGTGAGAGGGGGGGCGGTGAGAGAGAGGTGGGAGAGAGAGCGGGGGGTGAGAGAGAGGGGGGTGAGTGAGAGAGGGGGGTGAGTGAGAGAGGGGGGTGAGTGAGAGAGGGGGGGTGAGTGAGAGAGGGGGATGAGTGAGAGAGGGGTGAGTGAGTGGGGTGAGTGAGAGAGGGGGATGAGTGAGAGAGGGGTGAGTGAGTGGGGTGAGTGAGAGAGGGGGATGAGTGAGAGGGGGGTGAGTGAGAGAGAGGGGTGAGTGAGAGAGGGGGGTGAGTGAGAGTGAGTGGGGTGAGTGAGAGAGAGGGGTGAGTAAGAGGGGTGAGTGAGTGAGAGGGGTGAGTGAGAGAGGGATGAGTGAGAGAGGGGGATGAGTGAGAGGGGGGTGAGTGAGAGTGAGTGGGGTGAGTGAGAGGGGGGGTGAGTGAGGGGGGGTGGTGGGTGAGAGGGGGGGGTGGGTGAGGGGGGGGTGGGTGAGATGGGGGGGGGGTGGGTGAGGAGTGAGGGGGGGGGTGAGTGAGAGGGGGGGTGAGTGAGAGGGGGTGAGTGAGAGGGGGGTGAATGAGAGGGGGGTGAGTGAGGGGGGGGTGAGTGAGAGGGGGGGGGGGGTGAGTGAGGGGGGGGTGAGTGAGAGGGGGGGTGAGTGAGGGGGGGTGAGTGAGAGGGGGGTGAGTGAGAAGGGGGGGGGGGGGTGAGTGAGAGGGGGGGGCGTGAGTGAGAGGGGGGGGTGAGTGAGAGAGAGGAGGGGGGTGAGAGAGGGGAGTGAGTGAAAGAGAAGGGGGTGAGTGAGAGTGGGGGGGGTGAGAGAGGGGGGTGAGTGAGAGGGGGGGGGGGTGAGTGAGGGGGGGGGGTGGTGGGTGAGAGGGGGGGGGTGAGATGGGGTGGGTGAGGAGTGAGGGGGGGGGTGAGTGAGAGGGGGGTGAGTGAGTGAGAGGGGGGTGAGTGAGAGAGAGGGGTGAGTGAGAGAGAGGGGGGGTGAGTGAGAGAGAGGGGGGTGACGTGAGAGGGGTGAGTGAGAGGGGTGAGTGAGAGAGGGGGTGAGTGAGAGAGGGTGTGAGTGAGAGAGAGGGGGGGTGAGTGAGAGAGAGGGGGGTGAAGTGAGCGAGAGGGGGGTGAGTGAGAGAGAGGGGGGTGAGTGAGAGAGAGGGGGGTGAGTGAGAGAGAGGGGGGTGAGTGAGAGAGGGGGGGGGTGAGTGTTGGCAATGTTCACTCGCCTGCCCCCTCCACGCTGCTTCTCGTGGACACAAAATAAAGCAAAAGCCGCCGTGTAAAGAACAAGACGGTTCGAGCGAGACTTGAACATTTTGTTGAACTTAAATTGAACGGCGAACTCCACAATTCCTCCAATCGGAAGAGGAGGAGAAGGGAGGGTGTTGTGGAACGAATCACTGCATGGCCACCGATCGTCATTTTTCCATCCTCTGCCTGCGTCGTGAATTCCGGGATTTTCAGGATTCCAATACCAGTTTGGCTCGATATTCCAGCAGACACAGGCGTGGCTTATCAAGAGTGTTTCTGGGAGGGCTTTCTTGCCTTGCCTTTATACCCGGCAGGCAGCCCGGCACCCTGTGGGTTCCTGCACCAATGCCCCGTGCGCGGAGGCTTTAGCCTGCGTACCGATTGTATCGGATTTAGTTTCGAACGTTTGTGCTTGTAGGATTATTTTCTTTCTTGTTGATCTATCTTGGCTGCCCAGTGTCGTGGCTGCCCACTGTCCTGGCTGCCCACTGTCTTGACTGCCCACTGTCCTGGCTGCCCACTGTCCTGACTGCCCACTGTCTTGACTGCCCACTGTCCTGGCTGCCCACTGTCTTGACTGCCCACTGTCCTGACTGCCCACTGTCCTGGCTGCCCAGTGTCCTGGCTGCCCACTATCCTGGCTGCCCAGTGTCCTGGCTTCCCACTATCCTGGCTGCCCAGTGTCCTGGCTGCCCACTGTCCTGGCTGCCCACTGTCCTGACTGCCCACTGTCTTGACTGCCCACTATCCTGGCTGCCCAGTGTCCTGGCTGCCCACTGTCTTGACTGCCCACTATCCTGGCTGCCCACTGTCTTGACTGCCCACTATCCTGGCTGCCCACTGTCTTGACTGCCCAGTGTCCTGGCTGCCCACTGTCTTGACTGCCCACTATCCTGGCTGCCCAGTGTCCTGGCTGCCCACTGTCTTGACTGCCCACTATCCTGGCTGCCCACTGTCCTGGCTGCCCACTGTCCTGGCTGCCCACTGTCCTGGCTGCCCACTGTCTTGACTGCCCAGTGTCCTGGCTGCCCACTGTCCTGGCTGCCCACTGTCCTGGCTGCCCAGTGTCCTGGCTGCCCACTGTCCTGGCTGCCCACTGTCCTGGCTGCCCACTGTCCTGGCTGCCCACTGTCTTGACTGCCCACTGTCCTGGCTGCCCACTGTCCTGGCTGCCCACTGTCCTGTCTGCCCCGCTAGTATTGGCTGCCCACTGTCCCAGGATTGGTCTGGGCGCTCGCGCGCACGAACCGTTCGCTCGGCACGTAGGTGTTGCACGAGTCGTTCGTGACGCAGATCGAAGAACCCGCTAATTATTCGGTGGGAAGAAAACGCGGAAAGACGATGTTCGCCAAGGAGGACAAGAGCGTGGCCACGTCCATGGCCGGGGACATTAAGTTGCGGGCGTGCGAGGCTGTGAGGAAGCCGGGCTGGGCAGGAGAGAGCGTGAGGGTTCAGAAGCAGGAGGTTTGGACTCTGGACAAAGGGATTGATGGTGGTGATGCAGGTGAGCCTCTGGTGGTGACGCAGATGAGCATCTGGGGAGTGTTTTTTGTTGTAACGGTGGTGATGCAGGTGAGCCTCTGGTGGTGACGCAGATGAGCCTCTGGGGAGTGTTTTTTGTTGTAATGGTGGTGATGCAGGTGAGCATCTGGGGAGTGTTTTTTGTTGTAGTGGTGGTGATGCAGGTGAGCATCTGGGGAGTGTTTTTTGTTGTGATGGTGGTGACGCAGGTGAGCATCTGGGGAGTGTTTTTGTTGTGATGGTGGTGACGCAGGTGAGCCTCTGGGGAGTGTTTTTGTTGTAGTGGTGATGATGCAGGTGAGTCTCTGGGGAGTGTTTTTGTTGTAATGGTGGTGATGCAGGTGAGCTTCTGGGGAGTTTGTTGTTGTAGTGGTGGTGACGCAGGTGAGTCTCTGGGGACCTTCCCCCCTGACCCCCCCCCCGCGACCCCCCCCCCCCGCGCCCCTACTTGGACGTGTGTAAAAGAGCTTTATAGCTCATCGTATTCCGCCTCCAGTCTAAGTAAAGATTGTAAGCGCGAGCCAGATGATTAGGTGAGCGCTGGGGGCCCGCCAACGCGGACGATGTCTGCGGTACGGCGAAACTCCTCTCGCTTCACGGGCGCCACGGCGGCTAGGAGATGTTGACTACCTCGCCTGGTGCACAGTGGCTAGGAGATGTTGACTGCCTCGCCTGGTGCACAGGAGGGGTCGTGGGTTCGACCCCGACGCCTGACGATGCCTGCTGCTGCTGCTGTGTATTTGGAGTTTGCGGTGTCTCTCTCTCATCATCATCATCACAGTCGTGCAATGTTAACTACCTCGCCTGCTATACGCAACACTGCCGTACACTTCACTACTGTGCACTGCATGATACACTGCACTACTAAACATTACACTACACCGCTGCACACCGCACCGCTATGCGCCGCACATTGGCCCCTGTGGAGGCGCGTCGTTGAGCGATTCGTCGATCAACGGGGGGGGGGGGGGGGTGGCCGTTAAGAGGGGAGGGGGGGGGGTCTTCCCGTAAGTAACGGCGCTAACCTTCGCGCCCGCCCGCCCGCCCCTCCGCGCAGAGCTGACGAGCACGGCGGCCATGGCGAAGTTGGAGGCGTGCGGCGAGGAGACGCCGCTGCTGGGCGGACTGGCGGCCGCGGAGGGCCGGTTGAGGCGCGACATTCGCTTCTTCTTCATGAGCCCTTGCGAGAAGTTCCGCGTCAAGGGACGCAAGCCCTGGAAGATGGGCGTCCAGATCCTCAAGATCGTCATGGTCACCATTCAGGTGCCGGGCCCCCCCCCTCCTCCCCCCCCCCCCCCCCCCCCCCCCCCCCCCCCCAACGCTGCCTCGCCATCTCGTTATGGTTTTGTGTCGTCGGGTGGTGGTAGGTGAGTTTGCGGTGTCTCTCTCTCATCATCATCATCGCAGTTGCGAGATGTTAACTGTGATGATGATGGTGAGAGAGAGACACCGCAAACTCCAAATATACAGCAGCAGCAGCAGTCGTCAGGGGTCGGGATCGAAGTCACGACCTCCTGTATACCAGGCGAGGTAGTTAACATCTCGCAACTGTGATGATGATGATGAGAGAGAGACACCGCAAACTCCTAATATACAGCAGCAGCAGGCATCGTCAGGGGTCGGGATCGAAGCCACGACTCCTCCTGTATACCAGGCGAGGTAGTCAACATCTCCTAGCCACTGCTGCACCCCAACCCTCGCCCCCCAGCTACGACCAAGGCCTACACCAACCCCTCCTTAACCACTCCCGCCTGTTCTCCCAACGGTCACCATGACTACACCACCACCACCACCACCACGTTTGACAACAACCCTGCCCATTGTCATAAAGCGCCTTGAAATTAGTTGACTACCTCACCTGGTACGCAGGAGGTCGTGGGTTTGCTCGTAACCCTGACGCCCGCCGTATATTTGGGAGTTTGCGTGTCCTCCCCGTGGTTGTGTGGATTTTTCTCAAATACGTTCGTCAGCAACACTGCGAATTGCCTTAAGAGAAGTGCTATAAAGTATATAGGCCACGTTTCGTTCGGCGTCCCTTGTTTATAGCGCACGTTTAACAGCAACACGTGAGGATGCCACTGGGTGTGATGCAACTTTTAAATCCCGATGGGTAAACTAATTTAGTCAAAACTGCGTTTTGTGTGTTTAGTTGTCCTTCGCCCAGCACGCACGGTGTGGTTAAGTCCTGTGTGAAAGAAGTTCAACAAACATTGAAAGACTCACACAGAGACCCATAGACTACTCACATAGAGAACCACAGACTACTCACACAGAGACCCATAGACTACTCGCACAGATACCCATAGACTTCTCGCACAGAGACCCATAGACTACTCACACAGACACCCATAGACTACTCACACAGAGACTCATAGACTACTCACACAGAGACCCATAGACTACTCACACAGAGACCCATGGACTACTCACACAGAGACCCATAGACTTCTCGCACAGAGACCCATGGACTACTCACACAGAGACCCATAGACTACTCACACAGAGACCCATAGACTACTCTCACAGAGACCCATAGACTACTCACACGGAGACCCATAGACTACTCACACAGAGAACCATAGACTACTCGCACAGAGACCCATGGACTACTCGCACAGAGACCCATAGACTACTCGCACGGAGACCCATAGACTACTCGCACAGAGACCCATAGACTACTCACACAGAGACCCATAGACTACTCACACAGAGACCCATAGACTACTCACACAGAGACCCATAGACTACTCGCACAGAGACCTATAGACTACTCACACAGAGACCCATAGACTACTCACACAGAGACCCACAGACTACTCGCACAGAGACCCATAGACTTCTCACACAGAGACCCACAGACTACTCACACAGAGACCCACAGACTCACTCACACAGAGAACCATAGACTACTCACACAGAGACCCATAGACTACTCACACAGAGACCCACAGACTACTCACACAGAGACCCATAGACTACTCACACAGAGGCCCATAGACTACTCACACAGAGACCCATAGACTACTCGCACAGAGACCCACAGACTACTCACACAGAGACCCATAGACTACTCACACAGAGACCCACAGACTACTCACACAGAGACCCACAGACTACTCACACAAAGACCCACAGACTACTCACACAGACACCCATAGACTACTCACACAGAGACCCACAGACTGCTCACACAGAGACCCACAGACTACTCACACAGAGACCCATAGACTACTCACACAGAGACCCATAGACTACTCACACAGAGACCCACAAATTACTCACACAGAGACCCACAGACTACTCACACAGAGACCCACAGACTACTCGCACAGAGACCCATAGACTACTCGCACAGAGACCCATAGACTACTCGCACAGAGACCCATAGACTACTCACACAGAGACCCATAGACTAATCACACAGAGACCCATAGACTACTCACAGAGAGACCCATAGACTACTCACACAGAGACCCATAGACTACTCGCACAGAGACCTATAGACTACTCACACAGAGACCCATAGACTACTCACACAGAGACCCACAGACTACTCGCACAGAGACGCATAGACTTCTCACACAGAGCACCCACAGACTACTCACACAGAGACCCATAGACTACTCACACAGAGACCCACAGACTACTCACACAGAGACCCATAGACTCACTCACACAGAGAACCAGAGACTACTCACACAGAGGCCCATATATTACTCGCACAGAGACCCATAGACTACTCACACAGAGACCCATAGACTACTCACACAGAGACCCATAGACTACTCACAGAGAGACCCATAGACTACTCACACAGAGACCCATAGACTACTCGCACAGAGACCCATAGACTACTCACACAGAGACCCATAGACTACTCGCACAGAGACCCATAGACTACTCACACAGAGACCCACAGACTACTCACACAGAGACCCATAGACTACTCACACAGAGACCCATAGACTACTCGCACAGAGACCCGTAGACTACTCACACAGAGACCCATAGACTACTCACACAGAGACCCATAGACTACTCACACAGAGACCCATAGACACACAGAGACCCACAGACTACTCACACAGAGACCCATAGACTACTCACACAGAGACCCACAGACTACTCACACAGAGACCCATAGACTCACTCACACAGAGAACCATAGACTACTCACACAGAGACCCATAGACTACTCACACAGAGACCCACAGACTACTCACACAGAGACCCACAGACTACTCACACAGAGACCCATAGACTACTCACACAGAGACCCATAGACTGCTCACACAGAGACCCATAGACTACTCACATAGAGACCCATAGACTACTCACACAGAGACCCATATACTACTCACACAGAGCCCCATAGACTACTCACACAGAGACCCATAGACTACTCGCACAGAGACCCATAGTCTACTCGCACAGAGACCCACAGACTACTCGCACAGAGACCCACAGACTACTCGCACAGAGACCCACAGACTACTCGCACAGATACCCATAGACTACTCACACAGAGACCCATAGACTACTCACACAGAGACCCATAGACTACTCACACAGAGACCCATAGACTACTCACACAGAGACCCATAGACTTCTCACACAGAGACCCACAGACTACTCACACAGAGACCCATAGACTACTCACACAAAGACGCACAGACTACTCACACAGAGACCCATAGACTACTCACACAGAGACCCATAGACTACTCACACAGAGACCCATAGCCTACTCACACAGAGACCCACAGACTACTCACACAGAGACCCACAGACTACTCACACAAAGACCCACAGACTACTCACACAGAGACCCATAGACTACTCACACAGAGACCCACAGACTACTCACACAGAGACCCATAGACTACTCACACAGAGACCCATAGACTACTCACACAGAGACCCACAGACTACTCACACAGAGACCCACAGACTACTCGCACAGAGACCCATAGACTACTCGCACAGAGACCCATAGACTACTCACACAGAGACCCATAGACTAATCACACAGAGACCCATAGACTACTCACAGAGAGACCCATAGACTACTCACACAGAGACCCATAGACTACTCACACAGAGACCCATAGACTACTCGCACAGAGACCCATAGACTTCTCACACAGAGACCCACAGACTACTCACACAGAGACCCATAGACTACTCACACGGAGACGCACAGACTGCTCACACAGAGACCCATAGACTACTCGCACAGAGACCCATAGACTTCTCACACAGAGACCCACAGACTACTCACACAGAGACCCATAGACTACTCACACGGAGACGCACAGACTGCTCACACAGAGACCCATAGACTCACTCACACAGAGAACCATAGACTACTCGCACAGCGACCCATAGACTACTCGCACAGAGACCCATAGACTACTCGCACAGAGACCCATAGACTACTCGCACAGAGACCCATAGACTACTCACACAGAGACCCATAGACTAATCACACAGAGACCCATAGACTACTCACAGAGAGACCCATAGACTACTCACACAGAGACCCATAGACTACTCACACAGAGACCTATAGACTACTCACACAGAGACCCATAGACTACTCACACAGAGACCCACAGACTACTCGCACAGAGACCCATAGACTTCTCACACAGAGACCCACAGACTACTCACACAGAGACCCATAGACTACTCACACAGAGACCCATAGACTCACTCACACAGAGAACCATAGACTACTCGCACAGAGACCCATAGACTACTCGCACAGAGACCCATAGACTACTCACACAGAGACCCATAGATTACTCACACAGAGACCCATAGACTACTCACACAGAGACCCATAGACTACTCACAGAGAGACCCATAGACTACTCACACAGAGACCCATAGACTACTCGCACAGAGACCCATAGACTACTCACACAGAGACCCACAGACTACTCACACAGAGACCCACAGACTACTCACACAGAGACCCATAGACTCACTCACACAGAGAACCATAGACTACTCACACAGAGACCCATAGACTACTCGCACAGAGACCCATAGACTACTCACACAGAGACCTATAGACTACTCACATAGAGACCCATAGACTACTCACAGAGAGGCCCATAGACTACTCACACAGAGACCCATAGACTACTCGCACAGAGACCTATAGACTACTCACACAGAGACCCATAGACTACTCACACAGAGACCCATAGACTACTCACACAGAGACTCATAGACTACTCACACAGAGACCCATAGACTACTCACACAGAGACCCATAGACACACAGAGACCCACAGACTACTCACACAGAGACCCATAGACTACTCACACAGAGACCCACAGACTACTCACACAGAGACCCATAGACTCACTCACACAGAGAACCATAGACTACTCACACAGAGACCCATAGACTACTCACACAGAGACCCACAGACTACTCACACAGAGACCCACAGACTACTCACACAGAGACCCATAGACTACTCACACAAAAACCCACAGACTACTCACACAGAGACCCACAGACTACTCACACAGAGACCCATAGATTACTCACACAGAGACCCATAGACTACTCACATAGAGACCCATAGACTACTCACAGAGACCCATAGACTACTCACATAGAGACCCATAGACTACTCACACAGAGACCCATAGACTACTCACACAGAGCCCCATAGACTACTCACACAGAGACCCATAGACTACTCGCACAGAGACCCATAGTCTACTCGCACAGAGACCCACAGACTACTCACACAGAGACCCACACAGAGACCCATGGACTACTCACACAGACACCCATAGACTACTCACACAGAGACTCACACAGAGACCCATGGACTACTCACACAGAGACCCACAGACTACTCACGCAGAGACCCATAGACTACTCACACAGAGACCCACACACTACTCACACAGAGACCCACAGACTACTCACACAGAGACCCACACAGAGACCCATGGACTACTCACACAGAGACCCACAGACTACTCACACAGAGACCCACAGACTACTCACACAGAGACCCATTCCCCCCCCCCCCGTACCCCTCTTGCCGTGCCCCTCCCCGCCCCCCGCAGCTCGTGGTGTTTGGGCTCAGCAACCAGATGGTGGTGACGTTCCGCGAGGAGAACATGGCGACCTTCAAGCACCTGTTCCTGCGCGACTACAGGGACACGCCGGCGGACGACGCCTACGCCGTGTACACGCGCGCAGACTTCTTCGGCAACGTCGCCCACGTCCTCAACCAGGTGCACGCTCGGTGGCCGACGCCGACGACACCGCCACTAACACCGCCACTAACAACGCCACTAGCAACGCCACCGACACCACCACCGACACCACCCCCAACGCCACCACCGACACCACTAACACCACCACTGACACCGCCACTAACACCACCACTAACACCGCCAACACTAACACGACCACTAACACCACCCCCAACACCACCACCGACACCACCGACACCACTAATACCGCCACTAAAACCACCACTTACACCACTACCACCGACACCACTAACACCGCCACTAACACCACCACTAACACCGCCACTAACACCACCACTGACACCACCCCCAACACCACCACCGACACCACCACCGACACCACCCCCAACACCACTAACACCACCACTAACACCACCACTGACACCACCACTAACACCACCACCGACACCACCACTAACACCACCCCCAACACCACCACCGACACCACCCCCAACACCACTAACACCACCACTAACACCGCCACTAACACCACCACTGACACCACCACTAACACCACCCCCAACACCACCACCGACACCACCCGCAACACCACTAACACCACCACTAACACCACCACTAACACCGCCACTAACACCACCACCGACACCACTAATACCGCCACTAAAACCGCCACTTACACCACTACCACCGACACCACTAACACCGCCACTAACACCACCACTAACACCGCCACTAACACCGCCACTAACAACGCCACTAACAACGCCACCGACACCACCACCGACACCACCCCCAACACCACCACCGACACCACTAACACCACCACTGACACCACTACCACCGACACCACTAACACCGCCACTGACACCACCACCGACACCACTAACACGACCACCACCGACACCACTAACACCACCACTGACACCACTACCACCGACACCACTAACACCGCCACTAACACCGCCACTGACACCGCCACTGACACCGCCACTGACACCACCACCGACACCACTAACACGACCACCACCGACACCACTAACACCACCACTAACACCACCACTAACACCACCGACACCACTAACACCACCACTAACACCGCCACTGACACCACCACTGACACCACCACCGACACCACTAACACCACCACTAACACCACCACTAACACCACCACCGACACCAATAACACCACCACGAACACCGCCACTAACACCACCACTCGTCAAGGACGACAGAGCTCAGGCGATTGTTGGCAGGCGGAGGAGGCTTGTAACACCGGCACCCTTCCCCTCCCCCCCACCACCAACGCCGATGTGATCCGTCAGTACGTGCGCCTGCGGAACGTGTCCGTGGGGAACTACGCGTACATGCGCGACAGCGACGGCAGAATCGCCCCCATCAACCTCTGCCGCAGCTTCTACAAGGCGGGCACCATCGACCCCGGCAACGACACCTTCAGCATCAACCCCGTGATCGAGAAGGGTGAGCGGGCACGTGCGAGCCTCGCGCGGGCACGCGCCACGCTGGCTCAGGGATGCTAACTGCCTCGCCTGGTAGGCGGGAGGTGTCGTGGGTTCGATCCCGACCCCTGACGATGCCTGCTGCTGTACATTTGGAGTTTGCGGTGTCTCTCTCTCATCGTCATCACGGTGGCTATAAAATATTAACTACCTCGCCTGGTATGCAGGAAGTCGTGGGTTCAATTCCCGACCCTGACGCCCGCTGTATATTTGCAGTTTGCGGTTGTCAATTTCTTTCTTTCTTTCTTTCTCTCCCCGTGGTGGTCACCTGGATTTTTCCCCGGGTCTTCCACTTTCCCCCCTCGATGTTTAGAATCAATGGCGTGCGCTATAAATTTCCACGCGACGAGCCGCTCCGTCGTGCTATGCTTCGTGATAGCCAGGTCGCGTCTGAAAAAGAGCCATACAGCTTCGACTGGGCCTCAGCCGGTGATATAAAAAAAAATAGTTTAGTTTAGCCTACGCGCAGGTCGTGTACGTGTTACCGCCGGGAGCTGCCCTCCGCTCTGTGGCTGTGCGCGCGAGTGGGGAGCGGTGGCGCAGCGGCGAGACGCACCGCGCTCGCGATCCCCGCGACCCGAGTTCGATTCCCGCTCACGGCGAACCAACAACGCCGGTGGCGATAATCTGAACCGGTCCCTGGGTGCCCTGCCCTAGGTCGACTCGGCCTCAAACGAGTAGCTGGTGCGGTGTCTAATAACATCGCCACTGGGGGAGACAAAGGCGGCCGGGCGTGGTGGTGCTGGCCACCCACCCCCTCGTGTGCCACGGTGCCGCGAGAGCCGCGCTCCGACACCAGGCGACCCGAGTTCGATCCCCGACTCGCGGGCGACGACGACGAAGAGATGAACTGGGCCTGGGCACAGCCCTGGGTGGACTCGGCCTCTCTCACTAACACTGCTACCCGTAGACTCACTAACACTGCTACCCATAGACTCACTAACACTGCTACCCATAGACTCACTAACACTGCTACCCATAGACTCACTAACACTGCTACCCATAGACTCACTAACACTGCTACCCGTAGACTCGCTAACACTGATACCCATAGACTCACTAACACTGCTACCCATAGACTCACTAACACTGATACCCATAGACTCGCTAACACTGATACCCATAGACTCGCTAACACTGATACCCATAGACTCACTAATACTGCTACCCATAGACTCACTAACACTGCTACCCATAGACTCACTAACACTGCTACCCATAGACTCACTGACACTGCTACCCATAGACTCACTAACACTGCTACCCATAGACTCACTAACACTGCTACCCATAGACTCACTAACACTGCTACCCATAGACTCACTAACCATGATACCCATAGACTCACTAACACTGCTACCCATAGACTCACTAACACTGCTACCCATAGACTCACTAACACTGATACCCATAGACTCGCTAACACTGATACCCATAGACTCGCTAACACTGATACCCATAGACTCACTAATACTGCTACCCATAGACTCACTAACACTGATACCCATAGACTCACTAACACTGCTACCCATAGACTCACTAACACTGCTACCCATAGACTCACTAACACTGATACCCATAGACTCACTAACACTGCTACCCATATACTCACTAACACTGCTACCCATAGACTCACTAACACTGCTACCCATAGACCCACTAACACTGATACCCATAGACTCACTAACATTGCTACCCATAGACTCACTAACACTGATACCCATAGACTCACTAACACTATTACCCATAGACTCACTAACACTGCTACTCATAGACTCACTAACACTGCTACCCATATACTCACTAAGACTGCTACCCATAGACTCACTAACACTGCTACCCATATACTCACTAACACTGCTACCCATAGACTCACTAGCACTGCTACCCATAGACTCACTAACACTACTACCTATAGACTCACTAACACTGCTACCCATAGACTCACTAACACTGCTGCCCATAGACTAAAACTGCTATCCGTAGACTCACTACCACTACTATCCATAGATTAACACCGCTGCCCATAGAATAACACTCCTACCCATAGACTACCACTCCTACCTATAGAATAACATTCCTACCCATACAATAACACTCCTACCCATAGACTACCACTCCTACCCATGGAATAACACTGCTACCCATAGACCAGTGCTTCTTAACCTGGGGGGTGCGTGAGACATGGCCGGATTTTGTTTGTTATCAGGTAAATCATCGACGACACACAAATTAAGTTACAACTTATTTCGTTTCATCAAACCCCTGTGTGTTTATTAACATTGTACACTGTTTTTTCACGATCGAGAACCAAAGGGGCGGGGTGGGGGGAAGGGTGGAGTTGGTGCAAGGCTGCATTAAAATCAAGATTGCGGTAAAAATGTCAAGAACGACGGGGTCTAAGTAGAGGCTGGGCGGGAGACGTTTTCCGTCGGAGTGGCGGTGCTGTGATGAACTCTGCGGTTGCAGCGTTGGACGCGCGTTCGCATACCGTGGTGTCAGACCCGTACGGCTTACGTCCCGTAGTTTTTTCAGGTACCAGACGGCGTGACGGCCGTTTCCATACGGGCAAACACATAATGCATTTTTGTCGATTTGTGCGTGAACAATGAGGTCTGAATTGGTCTGTAGTAAGGTAGGGCACTGATAAGGGCTTGACCGCTTTGCTATACACTGCACAACTATAAACTAACTATACTACTAAACTACTATACACTACACTATACACTGCACGACTATACACAATACCATGTCAACCCATACGGTTTATACCCCGTATTCTTGTACAGGGAAATTGAGTTTTACAGCGGTTTCCATACGGGCACAAAAATATGTTTTGGTCTGTCTGTTTGTCTTTCTCCCTTGTGATGGGACTTTGTCGGATGAGCGTTGAGATTTATAAGGAGCACCGGGGGGTGACCCATGAGGTCTGAATTGGTCCGTAATGAGGTGGGGTCACTGATAACGGGTTGACGGCCATGAATTTGCATCCCTGTGCTTGGAGTAAATATGACGAATCGTTTACCAGTTGCTGAACCGGGCCTGGGCCTCTCCCCTCGCTGGACGTCTGCGGACGAGAGCTTTATCGCTCATCGGATTCCCCCAGTGTAGATTTAAAAAAATTCTGACTGTGAGATTTTACACGGAAATGTTTTGCGAACACATGAACCGGTGCCTGGCCCCTCCCCTAGATGAACGTGCGCTGTGTAAATACCCTATAGACTATTCCCTATATACGATGTGTACATCGGGCACTCTGTACCCATATGTTATTATTTACTGCACAGGGTCCACGGTAAGTAGTGAGTAATAGTGTGGTAAATAGTTACGTAGGGTTACAAGGGCATTGTACAACTGTTTGAAGCCATTCCCCGTGTTCAATGTACACACCGTACAACGTGTTTGGAATCGACGGGAGTAAAGTTGGGGCGTGCGAACCAATCGACTTACGAACAGTTCCCGCAGGAACCTAACTCGTTCGTAAGTAGGGGAGTCTCTGTAGTCTTTATTGGGGGGGCGGGGCGGGGTGTGGGTTGGGGGGTGGTGGAGTCTCTGTCTTCGCTTTGTCTTGGTGGATATAAAGCGTTCAGATCACTCGGAATGCACCCAGATCTATAAAGTATATAAAACAACTTTTATTTTATTTTACCGGGTACATAGCGACATGGCCATCACAAATGATTGATCAACGAAGTTGCTTAACGTCACATGTAAAATGCATAGCAGCGACCGAAATACTCCTCAAATGCGTGATGTTATTTCTAAATGTGGAGGGGCAAACACCCCTCGGGACCCGGAGAACAATCCGCGTGACCACTACGGGGAGAGAGAGACACTGCAAACTCAAATTATACAGCAGCAGGTATTGTCAGGGTCGGGATCGAACACTCGACCTCCTGCACACCAGGCGAGGGAGTTAACATCTCCTAGCCACCGTGATGATGATGATGAGAGAGAAACACGCAAACGCCAAATATACAGAAGCAGGCATCAGGGTCGGAATCGAACCCACGACCTCCTGTAAACCAGGCGAGGTAGTTAACATCTCCTAGACACCGTGATGATGAGAGAGAGAGACACTGCAAACTCCAAATATACAGCAGCAGGCGTTAGGGTCGGGATCGAACCCACGACCTCCTGTATACCAGGCGAGGGAGTTAACATCTCACCCACCCATGGCACCCCAGCGTAGTGGTTCGCTGTGCTGCACCACGAACCCGGCAGCCCGAGTTCGATTCCCCATTCACGGCCAACGCCGGTGACGATTATCTGTACCGGTCGTGGGCTTCCCTTAGGTCGACTGGGCCTCAAATGAGTACCTGGTGGCGGTGTGTAGTAGTAAACGTCGCCGCTCGGGCGACAAAAGTCGGCCGGGCGTGGCGGTGCTGGCCACCCACCCCCTCGTGTGCCACAGTGCCGGCCTTCATAGGCGCTGCTGCTCGCTAACAGCACTTGCCCTGACAGGCGGTTTCAGGCTATACGGTGAGGTGGGGGCACCTTTGTCTTTTGTGCGCAGTATGCATCGACATGCTGCCCCTGATCCCGCTGGGAGGCTTGTCGCTGAACGCGACTCGCCGCGCGGTGACGGAGATCTTCGTGGCCTCGAATCTCACCCTCGACTTCCACAGGTGTGTCTCTCTCCGCACGCAGCCACACACACATGCAGCCACACACACACGCAGCCACACACACACGCAGCCACACGCGCACACATGCATGCAGCCACACGCGCACAAAGATGCCTTAACAGACTGTAGGGGCAAGTGCTGTTAGCGAGCACCCTATGAAGGCCGGCACGGCACACGAGGGGGTGGGTGGCCAGCACCACGCCCGGCCGCCTTTGACTCCCCTAGCGGTGATGTTGACTACACACTCATTCCGGGTAATCGCTTGAGGCTGAGTTTACCTGGGGGGGGAGGTCCATGACCGGTTCAGATAATCGTCACTGGATGTTTGGCGTGAGCGGGAATCGAACTCGGGTCGCCGGGTTCGTAGCGCAGCGTAGCGCTAACCGCTACACCACCGCTCCCCACACACACACACACGAACAAAGACAAATATTCCCCCGTGTAGCCTTTAACAGATTGTTGGGCCAAGTGCTGTTCGCGAGCACCTATGATCGCCGGCACGAGGGGTTGGGTGGGTCACACCACGCCCGACCGCCTTTGTCTCCCCAGTGTGCGATGTTTACTACACACCCGTACCATGTACTAATTTGAGGCCGAGTCGACCTAGGGGAGGCCCATGACCGGTTCAGATGATCTTCACCGGTGTTGGCCGTGAGCGGGAATCGAACTCGGGTCGCCGGGTTCGTAGCGCAGCGCGCAGACCGCTACAATCCCGCTCCAAGGACAAAGATGCCCGTGTAGCCTTAACAGACTGTTGGGGCAAGTGCTTGTCAGTAAGCGTCTACCTACGAAGGCCAGCGCCAAGCCCCAAGGCCTGCCTTTGTCTCAAGAGGTCGAACTTCCCTGCGGGCTCACGGCAGCAGTCGGCCCGGGCGGCCTTCGGTTTGACGACATTCGCGACGTTTATGCAACGTCGCGAACGGGGCCCCCCCCCCCCCGCCCCCCGAGAGAGACGCCTCCACCACAGGGGTGGAACGGTGACGGGATGAGCTCGTGTTGCCGGTGCCTGGTGGATCGTTGCAACGTGGGGGCGTGGGGCGCGGAGATGGTGACTGCAACTAAGCTCATCGGCGACAAATGCAGAGGCCTGGATGTGACCGTGGGTCTCATTCGCAACGATTGACACCCCCCCTCCCCCCCCCCCCCACCCCCCTCCCCTCCCGGATCACCAAGACGACAAAGCGAACGACGTGAAATTGGAGCCACGAAGGTGACGGAAATCCCAAGAGGTCAAAAATAGTGCACAAACATCTCACCTATCAAATACTATATCTTGACTTGAAGCTGTCGTGACTGCAGGAATTCATGTTCTTTGGGTCTTTCGGTAAAGTCACGTAGATCGATGTGGATCTACGTTACTTTACCGACCGAATGACCCAAAGAATATAAAATGTTTTTTATTTTGCCACAAAAGGGTTGTGTCCACCCCCCCCCCCCCCCCCCACTGAACTATTTAGCTCTTCTTCAGAAGCGACCTGGCCACAAGATGATAGCTCACCCAAGTGGCTTCTCATCATCATCATCATCTTGTGGAGATGTACAGCAGGAGCCAAATTCTCTTAAATGCCTGTATCTGAATGTGGAGGGAAAGACCGAAGAGCCTGGAGACAAATCCACACGACCACGGGGAGAGAGAGAGGGATAGACAGACCCCCTGTATACCGGGTGAAGTAGTTAACATCTCACCACCGTGGCGAGATGCTCACGAGATTGTAGTGGAAGTGGTCTCAAGACGCCCACGTGGGTTGCCGCTCTTGCGACCCACCCCCACCCTCTTTTGGCCAGGCTGATTGACGTCACCATCAAGTTCAAGCTGAAGACCATCAACCTTCAGACGGTCCGCTACCACGAGCTGCCCGACTGTTACATCTTCTCCATCACCGTGAGTCCACCCCGGCTGTCTCTCTTCTACCCCCCCCCCCCGGCCCGGCCCGGCCCGGCCCCCCACTGTATCTCTCTTTCTCTCTCGTTCTGTCTCCGCCGTGCTCAAGGCCCATAGGCCCCCCCACCCGGGCGATGGAACAAGAAGGCTTCGTACGGCTTGACGGGCCACATCTCGTGCCGCCGGCTCGGTCAGCTGTTTGGAATCGGAATTTTTGTTAAAAATGTTTATCCTGGAGGAGGAATCCGACGAACTGTGTGAAGCTCTGCTTCCGCAGATGCCCAGGAGGGGTCGGCATTACTCTGCGGCGTGCGGACTCTTGACCCGTGCGGACGCTTGACCCCTGCGGACTCTTGACCCCTGCGGACTCTTGACTCGTACGGACTCTTGACCTGTGCGGACTCTTGACCACCTGCGGACTCTTGACCCCTGCGGACTCTTGACCCCTGCGAACTCTTGACCCCTGCGGACTCTTGACCCCTTTGGACTCTTGACCCGTGCGGACTCTTGACCCCTGCGGACTCTTGACCCCTGCTGCCCATAGACTCACTAACACTGCTACCCATAGCAGTGATTCTACCCATAGAATCACCAACAATGATACCCATAGACTCACTGACACTGCTACCCATAGAATAACACTCCTACCCATAGACTCACTAACACTGCTACCCATAGAATAACACTCCTACCCATAGACTCACTAACACTGCTACCCATAGAATAACACTCTTACCCATAGACTTACTAATACTGCTACCCATAGAATAACACTCCTACCCATAGACTCACTAACACTGCTACCCATAGAATAACACTCCTGCCCATAGACTCACTAACACTGCCAGCCTTACTCACACTGCCTCCTATAAACTCGCTAACACTGCTACCCATAGACTAACACTGCTACCCATAGAATAACACTCCTACCCATAGACCAGTGGTTCTTTACCTGGGATGCAAGCACCCCCTTTGGGTTGCCAGATGCCCTTTCTAGAAAGTAAATAATCTAAAACACTATTTAAGCACGGGCACGGTTTATTTCAAAGCCTACGTACTTATTAGCGTTGTACATTTTTCTTTTTTCAACGACCGATAACCAAAGGGGTGAAAGGCTGCTGTAAAGGTTAAGAACCTAGCGGCCCAGGGCCTACAAGAAACCTTAATCCGGCCCTGCGTTTCCGTTCCCCCACCCCCCGCCCCGTCCCACCCCCCCGTGTTTCCATCTGCTTGGCAGGCGCTCTTCGACAACAAGGCTCATAGCGGCCGCATCATGGTCAACCTGGACAGTGACGCCCTCATACGCGAGTGCAAAGAGTGGGACATCTCTGGCTCCAGTGAGTTTATCTTTTCGTGCCCCCCATCTTCCCGTGTCCTTCGCGCCGCTGGCTGGCAGGCTGGCTGGCTGACTGGCAGGCAGACAGGCTGGCGGGCTGGCAGGCGGGCGGGCTGGCAGGCAGACTGTCTGGCTGGCTGGCTGGCAGGCGGGCGGGCTGGCTGGCTGGCAGGCTGGCTGGCAGGTGGGCTGGCTGGAAGGCATTCTGGCTGGCTGGCAGGCTGGCTGGCTGGCTGGCTATCTGGCTGGCTGGCTGGAAGGCTGGCTGGCAGGCGGGCGGGCTGTATGGCTGGCAGGCTGTCTGGCAGGCGGGCGGGCGGGCTGGCGGGCTGGCTGGAAGGCAGGCGGGCGGGCAGGCTGGCATCACACACACGAAATGAAATTGCAGAACGCGATCAAACGAATTGGGAGAATAACACGACGACGGCGATGATTGATTATTATTGTCGCTCGATGGACGAGACCTGCGACGGAATGGCAGCCAAAGGAAGGGGGAGAGAGAGAGAACGCTCACCGGAGCGGGGGGGGGGGGGGCAGGGGGGTACGACGACCGCGGAAGGATGGAGCGACGTCAGATCGCCGCGTGATTCGTCAAGTCGTCGCGATCGCCGCGCGCTGTTCACGCGTTGTGTCGTGCACCCTCCCTCCGCCCGACGCGTAGCCGCTCAATAAAGCCATGATACAGGTTGTTGTTTTTTTTTTGCGTTAGATCGCGTAAATATATCAATGTGTCGTTTAACCCGCCACCGCCCGACGCAGCCAATTAGTTGAGGTTTGTCACGGAAACAGAACGTGCCAATTCGTTGCTAGTCCAGCACTAACCGGCGTTGTCGGAGAGCAAATCCACACACCGGTGTGCTGTCCTAGTAACGAATTGGCATGCTCGCTCGTGTTGCGTTGCAGTTCAGAAGAACACGCACTTCATGATGATCTTCGACGTCTTCATCATCATGCTGTGCCTCACCTCCTTCGTCCTCTGCCTCCGATCGATCGTCAAAGGCGTCTTCCTCCGAAACGTGCGTCACCCCACCCGTCCGTCCGTCCGTCCGTCCTTCCGTCCTTCCCTCCGTCACGCTTGTCGTCTGCGATTATTGTATTTTAAACTGAAACTAAACTCTGTTCATTCTACCAGCTACCTAGCTCTTTTTTTCAGAAGCGACCTGGCTCTCGTAAGTTGACAGCTCAACGGAAGTGGCTTATCGTCACGTGGAGATTTGCCGCAGGGGCCAAGTACTCTAAACGCGCGTCGTTGATTCTAAACGTGGAGGTAGCAAGCCGGAGGGACCCGGAGAGGAATCAACACGACCACGGGGTGCAGAGGGAGAGAGATACGCACCGCAAACTCCGAATGTACGGCAGGCGTTGTCAGGGTCGGGATCGAACCCACGACCTCCTGCATACCGGACGAGGTAGTTAACATCTCCTAACCACTGTGATGATGAGAGAGACACAAACTCCGAATGTACAGCAGCAGCAGGCGTTGTCAGGGTCGGGATCAAACCCACGACCTCCTGCATACCGGACGAGGTAGTTAACATCTCCTAGCCACTGTGATGATGAGAGAGACACAAACTCCGAATATACAGCATCAGCAGGCGTTGTCAGGGTCGGGATCGAACCCACGACCTCCTGCATACCAGACGAGGTAGTTAACATCTCCTAGCCACTGTGATGATGAGAGAGACACAAACTCCGAATATACAGCAGCAGCAGGCGTTGTCAGGGTCGGGATCGAACTCACGACACCTCCTGTATACCGGGGGAAGCAGATAACATCTCCTAGCCACCGTGGGCACCCCCAAGTTATATTCTTAGCTCTTTCGGTAAAGTCACGTTGAAGGGAAACAATAAAATAATAAAATATATATAAAACAATAACAATTCTCACGACGTTTCGACCATAACACAAACGGTCGTCATCAGGTGTGTCGGTTTGCATTAATTTGTAAGCCATCTGGCTACCATGAGAGATTCGTTCATGAGGCTATCCACATATACAAGCACAGAGACAATTTCAACCGAGAAGATGGATTCTGGCTTAGCAATCATTGGAAAGATTTGATAAACCATTTCAGGTCTTAATTGATTGTTTACGCTTACGGTGGCTTTCAGACAGCATACATTAATTTTTCGTCTCCCCCCTCCTCTTTTCAGGACATAGATGGACTCGTCCTTCTAAATAAACTGCCAAATCGCTGCGCGTGGCGCTGACGTTTTTTTATAAATAAACACACCGTTTAAAAATAAATGAATTAATGCAAACCGACACACCTGATGACGACCGTTTGTGTTATGGTCGAAACGTCGTGAGAATTGTTATTGTTTTATATATATTTTATTATTTTATTGTTTCCCTTCAACGTGACTTTACCGAAAGAGCTAAGAATATGAATTACTGCAGTCACGAAAGCTTTAAATCAAAATTTAACCCCCAAGTTAGTTTGGCTGTTACTCCTCCTCCACCATTGATGGAGCACAGACTACAGTGGGGGGGTGTACTCAATGGTCCACAGTGTGGGTTGCATGGCCACAATGGTTCTCCTGCGGAAGTGGCTTATCGCGTGGAAATTTCAATCAACCAAATGCTACTAAACGCACGTTTCTAAATCTGGAGGGAAAAGCCGGAGGACCCGGAGAAAAATCCACGTGATCGCGGGGAGAGACGGAGAGAGAGAGAGAGACACCGCCAACTCCAAATATACAGCAGGCGCTCAGGGTCAAGGGATCTTTCCGTGTGCGTGCGTGCAGGAATTCGTGCTGTTCTACCATGTGCACTACGACCAGACGGTGGGGTGGTCCGATCAGACGGAGTTCATCAACGGCTGGTTCATTCTCATCATCATCAGCGACATCTTCACCGTCATCGGCTCCATCCTCAAAATCGAGATCGAGATGAAGGTGAGCAGACACCACGGGCCGACCCTCGCCCGCCCGCCCGCCCGCTCGGTCGCTCGCCCGCTCGTTCGATTCCCTGCAGCTGTGACGTCTCTCCGGCCGCCAGGGATTCCATGAACTAGCCATCGCCAGGTCAATCGTGCGGATGCCGTGTGCCACTACACCACCGTTCCCGAGTGATAGCGATCCCCCGCGTAGCCCTTTAACAGACGGTTTAACACGTAGGCTTTCGCCACCAATGTCATCCATACTCTTTGGGTCTTTCGGTGAAGTCGCGTAGATTATAGAGGTTTTTTTGGTGGTTAGATCGCGTAAACATATAAACGGTTTGGGCGAGTGCTGTTTGCGTACTCCCCACACACGCACAAAGACAAAGATCCCCCGTGTAGCCTTCAACAGACTCTTGGGGCCAGTGCACAACACATGCAACACCCATACGGGTGAATTAACGTAATGCTGTGTGTGTGAATCCCACTGTGTCTTTCAGAGCCTCATGTCCTATGACCTCTGCAGTATACTGCTGGGGACGTCCACTCTGCTGGTCTGGGTCGGTGTGATCAAGTACATGGGCTACTTTAAGACGTACAACGTGAGTAACCAACCTCGCTCCCTGTGCCGTATGTATGTGGGTTGAACTTCTTTCGCGCCGTGCGTGGCCGACCGTGCTTATCGGAAGTGCGGGGGAAGGACAACATACTGAACACAAAAAGCAGTTCTAAAGAAATTAGTTTCAATCTACTCCACACTACTCACTACTACTCACTACTACACACTACTCACTGCTACACACTACTACACACTACACACTACTACACACTACTACACACTGCTACACACTACTCACTACTACACACTACTACACACTACTCACTGCTACACACTGCTACACACTACTTACTGCTACACACTACTACACGCTACTACACACTACTCACTGCTACACACTGCTACACACTACTTACTGCTACACACTACTACTACACACTGCTACACACTACTATACACTACAAACTGCTACACACTGCTACACACTACTACACACTACTGACTACTACACACTACTAACTACTACACACTACTACACACTACTCACTACTACACACTACTACACACTACTCACTGCTACACACAGCTACCAATTACTACACACTGCTACACACCACTACACACTGCTACACACTGCTACACACTACTCACTGCTACACACTACTACACACTGCTACACACTACTATACACTACACACTGCTACACACTGCTACACACTACTACACACTACTAACTACTACACACTACTACACACTACTCACTACTACACACTACTCACTATTACGCATTGCTCACTACTACACACTACTACACACTACTCACTACTACACACTACTCACTACTACGCATTACTCACTACTACACACTGCTACACACTACTACATACTACTACACACTACTCACTGCTACACACTGCTACACACTACTACACACTACTATACACTGCTACACACTACTCACTACTACACATTACTCACTACTACACACTGCTACACACTACTACACGAGGCTACACACTACTACACACTACTACACAATGCTACATACCGCTACACACCGCTACACACCGCTAAACACTGCTACACACTACTACACACTGCTACACATTGCTACACAATGCTACACACTACTACACACTGCTACACACTACTACACACTGCTACACTCTACTACACACTGCTACACACTGCTACACACTACTACACACTGCTACACACTACTACACACTGCTACACACTACTACACACTACTCACTACTACGCATTACTCGCTACTACACACTACTACACACTACTACACACTACTACACACTGCTACACACTACTCACTACTACACACTACTACACACTGCTACACACTACACACTACTACACACTACTCACTACTACACACTACTACACACTACTACACACTGCTACACACTGCTACACACTACTACACACTTCTCACTACTACACACTACTACACACTTCTCACTACTACACACTACTCACTACTACGCATTACTCGCTACTACACACTACTACACGCTACTACACACTACTACACACTGCTACACACTACACACTACTACACACTGCTACACACTACACACTACTACACACTACTACACACTACGACACACTACTCACTACTACACACTACTACACACTACTCACTACTACACACTGCTACACACTACTACTCACTAATACACACTGCTACACACTACTACACACTACTACACACTGCTACTCACTACTACACACTACTACACACTACTACACACTACTCACTACTACACACTGCTACACACTACTACACACTACTCACTACTACACACTACTACTCACTACTACACACTGCTACACACTACACACTACTACACACTACTACACACTACTTACTACTACACACTACTCACTACTACAAACTGCTACACACTACACACTACTACACACTACTACAAACTACAACAGCGGAGGGCAGAGGAGCAACGCTCACGACAACGAGCAGAGCTCCAGGCAGCTTTAAACGCTGCAAGTTGGCACAATCGGGGGGCACAGGTGGTGCATCGTCCGGTCATCTCCGTCGGTCAACGCATGGCACCCGGGTCTGTCCCGTGACCTCCTGCCGGCGGGCGTTCGGCACTTCACGGGCCCTTAAAGCGCGCACATAGCCTGGCGCAAGCGCCGCGGTGACGTCACCGCCACCTAGTGGCGAATGGCGGCTGTCGTTGTTGTGCGTCCCTTGACGCTCCTGTACCTATATTCATATTCTTAGCTCTTTCGGTAAAGTCACGTTGAAGGGAAACAATAAAATAATTTAAAAAATATATATAAAACAATAAAAATTCTCACGACGTTTCGACCATAACGCAAACGGTCGTCATCAGGTGTGAAAAAACCAACGGCAAGAAACATTTGAAAGAAGTGGCGGTTCGCATTTATTTATTTTTAAACGGTGTGTTTATTTATTTATAAAAACGTCAGCGCCACGCGCAGCGACTTGGCAGTTTGTTTAGAAGGACGAGTCCATCTATATTCATATTCTTAGTTTTTTCGGTAAAGTCACGTTGAAGAGAAACAATAAAATAATAAAATATATATAAAACAATAAAAAATTCTCACGACGTTTCGACCATAACTCAAGCGGTCATCTTCAGGTGTGTTGGTTTGCATAAATTTATTTTTAAACGGCGCATTTATTTATTTATAAAAAACCGTTAGCGCCACGCGCAGCGATTTGGCAGTTTACCCAGGACTAGTCCATCTATATTCTTGAAAGAGGAGGGGGGAGACGAAATTTTTTATAATGTATGCTGTCTGAAAGCCAATGTGAGCGTGAACAATCAATTAAGACCCGAAATGGTTTATCAAATCCTTCCAGTGATTGCTAAGCCAGAATCCATCTTCTCGGTTGAAAAAATTGTACCTCTCCGACCTTTTGAACCCCCTCTGCCGGGCGCAAGATCCTCATCTTGACCCTGCGCGCGGCATTCCCCAACGTCATCCGCTTCTGCTGCTGTGCCGCCATGATCTACCTGGGCTACTGCTTCTGCGGATGGATCGTGCTGGGACCGTACCACTTCAAGGTGTGAGGCACCCCCCTCCCCCCGGTGCCAGGCTAGGTGCACCTCGGAGGGAGGGAGGGAGGGAGGGGGAGAGGACGGGAGGGGAGGAAGAGTGTGGAGGGAGAATAGAAGAGGATTGAGGGAGGGGGAGGGGGATAGTGGGGGAACTTTATATATGATTTTTTTAATGGGGGGAGGGTACATGTGTACATTACTGACGAGTCAATCGGTGGTGTAATTTCCTCCCCTTCTGCGTTTTTTGCCGTTTTTCCGTCTCTGCCCCCCCCCCCTTCCCTCCCCCCCCCCCCCCCCGCCTCCCCCCCCCCTTCCACCCCTGCGCAGTTCCGCACGCTCAACATGGTTTCGGAGTGCCTCTTCTCGCTCATCAACGGCGACGACATGTTCTCCACATTCTCGGCGATGAAGCAGAAGAGCTACCTGGTGTGGCTCTTCAGCCAGTTGTACCTCTACAGCTTCATCAGCCTCTTCATCTACATGATCCTCAGCGTCTTCATCGCCCTCATCACCGAGACCTACGAGACCATCAAGGTACGAGCTCGCTGCGCTGGTGTTTTAAGCTCGGTACGCTGGGTGAGGATGGGTACGGCGGGTTAGGCTGGGTTACGGTTGGGTTAGGTTGGTAAGGCTGGGTACGATGGGGTTAGGTTGGTAAGGCTGGGTACGATGGGTTGGGTTGGTAAGGCTGGGTACGATGGGTTAGGTTGGTAAGGCTGGGTACGATGGGTTAGGTTGGTAAGGCTGGGTACGATGGGTTAGGTTGGTAAGGCTGGGTACGATGGGTTAGGTTGGTAAGGCTGGGTACGATGGGTTGGGTTGGTAAGGCTGGGTACGATGGGTTAGGTTGGTAAGGCTGGGTATGATGGGTTAGGTTGGAAAGGCTGGGTATGATGGGTTAGGTTGGTAAGGCTGGGTACGATGGGTTGGGTTGGTAAGGCTGGGTACGATGGGTTAGGTTGGTAAGGCTGGGTACGATTGGGTTGGGTTGGTAAGGCTGGGTTAGGTTGGGTTAGGCTGGGTTAGGTTGGGTTAGGTTGGGTTAGGTTGGGTTAGGTTGGGTTAGGTTGGGTTAGGTTGGGTTGGGTTGGGTTAGGTTGGGTTAGGTTGGGTTAGGCTGGGTTAGGCTGGGTTAGGTTGGGTTAGGTTGAGTTAGGTTGGTAAGGCTGGGTATGATGGGTTGGGTTGGTAAGGCTGGGTACCGCTGGGTTAGGTTGGGTTAGGTTGGGTTAGGTTGGGTTAGGTTGAGTTAGGTTGGTAAGGCTGGGTATGATGGGTTGGGTTGGTAAGGCTGGGTACCGCTGGGTTAGGTTGGGTTAGGTTGGGTTAGGCTGGGTTAGGTTGGGTTAGGTTGGGTTAGGTTGGGTTAGGCTGGATTAGGTTGGGTTAGGTTGGGTTAGGTTGGGTTAGGCTGGGTTAGACTGGGTTAGGTTGGGTTAGGTTGGGTTAGGCTGGGTTAGGTTGGGTTAGGCTGGGTTAGGCTGGGTTAGGTTGGGTTAGGCTGGGTTAGGTTGGGTTAGGCTGGGTTAGGTTGGGTTAGGCTGGGTTAGGTTGGGTTAGGTTGGGTTAGGTTGGGTTAGGCTGGGTTAGGTTGGGTTAGGTTGGGTTAGGTTGGTAAGGCTGGGTTAGGCTGGGTTAGGTTGGGTTAGGTTGGTAAGGCTGGGTTAGGTTGGTAAGGCTGGGTATGATCGGTTGGGTTGATAAGGCTGGGTACCGCTGGGTTAGGCTGGGTTAGGTTGGGCTAGGCTGGGTTAGGCTGGGTTAGGCTGGGTTAGGTTGGGTACGCTGGGCGACCCAGCGTTCTCCACCGTGAGGCCGCTCCGTAGTGTAAGGCAATGCGCCGTGTGGGTGGCGGCGGCGGTGACGGCGGTGGTGACGGCGGCGACGGCTTCACACCCCCCGCGTTGCACTGCCCTTGTACCGCCAGCACTACGACGCTCAGGGCCGCGCCATGAGCGAGGTCGACCGCTTCCTCAACGCCGGCAGCAGCCCCGAGCCCGGCACCGGCGGAAGCATCAACGGCGTTGCCGGTGGCGGTGGCGGTGGCGGTGGCGGTGGTGGCGGGGATGGCGGTGGTGGCTGGGACGAGGGAGAGACGGCCTGCAGCTTCCTCACCTGCTGCCTCCCCCAGCGCTCGTCCACCTCCCACTGTGAGCGCTCTGCCCCCTCCCCCCCTTCCTCTCCCTCCATCCCCTCCCTCCCTATCCTCACTCCCTCTCCTCCCTGTGCGTGTGCGCGTATATATTAATGTGCGAGGGGCGGTAGTGGAGCGGTTAGCGCTACGCTGCGCTCCAAACCCCGGCAGCTCGGGTTCGGGTCCCGCCCACAGCCAACACCGTTGACGGCGATCTGAGCCGGTCTTGGGCCTTCCCTCGGTCGACTGGCCGGGCGTGGTCGGTGCTGGCCACCCACCCCCATCGTGTGCCACAGTTCCGGCCTTCGCAGGCGCTGCTCGCTAACGGACGCTTGCCCTGAACAGTCTGTTAAGGCCTTCAACTTCGGGGAGGGATCTTTCTCTCCGCGTCCCACAATCCTCTCTCCCGTCATCCAGGACTTGGCGGCTCGCCTGGAGGAGCGAAACCGGCTTCGCCGACCTACGACCCCCGACGACCCCGCGACACCGGCCACTTGCGACAGCTTTCCCCTGTCCCGTTTGTTTTTTTTCTTTCCGCGTGAGATCCCACCCCACCCCCTCCCCTCCGCCCTCCGCCCTCCTCGTCCCCCGCGCGGCCGCCGACCGGCAGCACCGCGCTCGGTCGCAAGGTGAAAGAAACGTCCCGTGCCGGTGGAGGACCTCTCGGTTCGAGCGGCGCCTATGGCGGCGGCGGCGGCAACGGCGGCGGCAGCGGCGGCGGCGGCGGCGCCACGACTTCTCAAGTTGCCGGCCATCGCCGAGGGCCGTCGACCGTCCCCCTTTCTCCGAACGGCGCCCTCCGAAATGCACCCGCCGAGTGCCCGTCCAGGCCCTGGGTGAAACGACGCGTCGAGGTCTTCGCCCCTCGCCCGGGGGGGCCCCCCCCGGGTCCCCGGCGTGGTTCCAGCTCCCGACGGTCCCGCGCAATGCCCCACGGGGTCTTTCGGTTTTGGGGGGACCGGCGAATGCGTCCGGTTTCGTTTCATTTCTTTCAATTCGATTTTTGGTTTTACGATTTGCGTCGTCGTCGTCGTCGTCGTTTTACGCTTCTCTCTCTCGCACGGGCTCGCATCGCGCGTTTTCTTGCCGTCCACCGTCAGGATCTCGCGTCGGACCCCCATCTCCTTTAGCTTCCGGAAAGAGGGCACTGCAGAAGTACTTCTGGGGTTTTACCACCGCCAGCCCCGCCACCATCTCGTTCAGCTTTCTGGAAAGAGGACACTGCAAGAAGTACTTCAGAGGCCGCCACCACCACCACCGCCCCACCCTCCGTCGACTGCCTCTCGTCAACACTTGAGCGGCGCAGCGATTTTTCCAACGTAACCCAGCCTGTAGAAGGTGGTGCGCGACCGCTCGACCCGTCGAGAGAAATATATATTTTTTTCCTGGACCTGTGGCTCGGACTAATGGGGGGATTCGGAATCTTAGCCGAGCGAGCAAAGCCGAAAGAGGCGAGTCGGAGTTTCCTGCCGGGTGTGTTTGCGGTCTAGCGCAGGGGTCCCCAAACCCCCCCCCGGGCCGAGGAACCGGTACCGGTCCGTGGCCTGTTAGGAACCGTGCCGCACAGCAGCAGGAGGTGAGAGCGGTGAGTCCGAGCATGACCCGCCCCCCATTGTTTTATTATTTTACAACTTCCCGTGCGCGCCTCTTTCCCGCACCGAGCGCTCAGTCTCAGTCACGTGGTGTTGTTGGTATTAAGCCCGCGAGCGCTAACCCCCTAGTAGCCAAGATGAGTAACGAAACAAATAGTCGCTGGAGAGCTTCTTTGAATGATGAACCCTCCCACCGTTCATGAAAAAAAATTGTCTTCCACGAAACCGGTCCCTGGTGCCATAAAGTTTGGGGACCGCCGGTCCAGCGAGACGCCCCGCTCCAACCGCGCGGGGAGCGACCGACACCTGGGACTAGCAATCGCTTCCGCCCCCGGCGGCGGGAGGGCAGGGAGCGTGGTGGTGGAGGGGATATCGGCGATGGTGGCTCAGTGCTGTAAATGATGACGGTTGTTTTACGTTCCGTGGCCGTGCGTTGTCCCGCCAAGTGTTTCACTTCCCGTTGGCGGCGTCGCGAGCGATGCCGGTTCGGTGGTCGGCGGGCGGGCGGGCGGGCGGTTCCCTGAGCCACAGCGATGGGGAAATTCTACATTCCCATGGCGGGTTTCCTGACGTACGTGTGTGTGTACGTCGAACTTCTTTCGCACCGTACGTAGCCGACCGTGCTAAGCGGTTGGTGGGGGGGGGGGGGGGGGAAGGGGGGGGGGCCGGAAGGACAACAAACTTAAACACGCATACACACACACACAAGCGATAGCTACGAGAACCAATGGAGAATTAAAAGTTGTTTTTTTACACGCGTCTGAAAGCGCGAGCGTGCGAGCTGCCGCTGCTGCTGCTGCCCCGTAAAAATATTTGGCGGAATTTCTTTGCCAGGACGACGATGCCGACGAGGACGATGATGCCGACGAGGATGATGACGAGGATGATGATGACGACGACGATGACCACGAGGACGAGGATGCCGACACGGATGATGACGACGATGACGAGTCTTGAGATGCCATTAATTGTGTGAGTTGTGTGTCGGGGGGGGGGGGGGGGAGGTGGGAATCGAATGTGCGGGTTCCCCTCTCTTCACGCGGGGGGTTCTGTTTGTGCGCTCTGTGTTCCGCTCTGTGCTCTGCCGCTTTGAGCTGAAATCCGCGACGTGGCGCGGGGTCCGAGGTCGCCCGGCGTGCTGCCATGCGGTTGGACGTGGGACAATGCCGTGTGTGTACTGTGTGTGTACTGTGTGTGTGTGTGTGTACTGTGTGTGTACTGTGTGTGTGTACTGTGTGTGTGTACTGTGTGTACTGTGTGTGTGTGTGTGTACTGTGTGTGTGTGTGTAGTGTCTGTGTGTACCGTGTGTAGTGTCTGTGTGTACTCTGGTTTCGCTTCGTGCGCACCGCCCTCTTTTCGGAACGCGTCTGCCACTCGTCCTGCCACCACCACTGTCACCGTGTGGACGAGCGAGGCGAGGCCTGCAGGTGGAGCAGGTGGAGCAGGCGAGGCCTGCAGGTGGAGCAGGCGATGGCCTGCAGGTGGAGCAGGCGATGGCCTGCAGGTGGAGCAGGCGATGGCCTGCAGGTGGAGCAGGCGTGCACTGTGGCGATGTTTCACCGGCGCCAACATAAACCGTCGAATCTAAGCTCGGGGGATTGTAAAAAAACTAAACCACGCGCGTTTGGCTTTGTGCGTGCGCCGGACTCTCTCCTGACTCTACACTGACTCTACACTGACTCTCTGTGGACTCTACACTGACTCTACACTGACTCTCTGTGGACTCCCTGTGGACTCCCTGTGGACTCCCTGTGGACTCTACACTGACTCTACACTGACTCTCTGTGGACTCTCTGTGGACTCTACACTGACTCTCTGTGGACTCTACACTGACTCTACACTGACTCTACACTGACTCTACATTGACTCTACACTGACTCTACACTGACTCTCTGCTGACTCTACACTGACTCTCTGTGGACTCTACACTGACTCTACACTGACTCTCTGTGGACTCTACACTGACTCTACACTGACTCTACACTGACTCTCTCCTGACTCTACACTGACTCTCTGCTGACTCTACACTGACTCTCTGTGGACTCTCTCCTGACTCTACACTGACTCTACACTGACTGTTGACCCCCCCCCCCCCCCCCCCTGGCTTGACCGACTGATCGAACAGGCAAAAAATGGGATCGAGGCACCAATTAATTAGTTTTTAAAGGAATCGTCCCTCCAGTCCGAATCTGCGAGGTCGCTTCGCCGCCCGAATAACAAACCCACCGTCGATGGCTTTGTGTGTAAATGCTTATATCCTTGGCCCACCTGATACGAAGGAAAGAAGCTATGGGAATACCATTCACGCCCGTTAAAGTCGAAATTCTGTTTCGGGTCTTACGCACGATACTGGCAGCGGCGGCGGCGGCGGCTGCGGCAATGTGTTGTCCCAGGAGCTAGACGCTCAATGTCGCGGGGTTTAATAAGCCACGATGAGTGGGGCTTCAGGAGAGAGTTTGCGCGCGTCGATTTGCTGTTTCTCCGCCCTCGTGCGTCGACGGAGGGCCGCCCGGTCGAAATGTTAACTACCTCGCCTGGTATACGTGGGTCGCGGGTTGAATTCCCGACGCTTGACCGCCTGCTTTTGTACAGTTGGAGTTTGCGGTGTCTCTCTCTCTCTCTCCCCCCGTGGTCGCGTGGATTTTTCTCCGGGTCCCTCCGGGTATTCTCCCTCCACATTTCGAATCGGCGTCGTCGGGTTTTAGAGCATTCGGCTGCTGCTGCTGCTCCATTCCCACGTGACAACGACAACGAGCCCACTTCGTTGAGCTGCCATTTGTGATTGGGACCCAGGTCGCCTCTGACAAAGAGCTACGCAGCTCAGTGGGGGGCCTTCTTACCTGGTGAAGTAAAAATGGTTTTAGTCTTTAACAGTTTCACAGTCGCACTCCTGCGCCAAGATGGACTGGATGGAGCGTCATCCCAAAGCGCCTCTCGTACGTGGATAACACTGGACGTTCGGCAACGTGCCTGTCCCGTCGATTAACGCCGATTTATTGCGTTTATTTTTTTTTGCATGGTACGTGCAAGATGATCTTGGGTGCGAGAATCGATTGCTGGTGATTTACCATACGCGAGTTTTTGTATACGCGGATTTGTTGCTCCTTGCGGGCTTAATGATGCCCTCCGTTACGAATGAGAATTAAAAAAATAAACTCGTGCGACTATAGCAGAGGGGACGGGGGAACGAGAGGACGAATATATATTTATTTTTTAAGTGTATCCTTCGCTCGAATCGCAGACGCTTCATCGAATCGTCGTAGTCGTGATCGGGGGTGAACCCTTCCGTGCTGAATTAAGGAACACTTGAACATCCCCAACCTGGTCGTTTTGGGGTAGCCGTAATGTCTCCAAACTTTCACGTCGGGTTAAAACTGTGACATCGCCTTCCCCATACAGGCGCGCGCACACCCCATTATAGGGCTCGGGATGCTTTGTTGCTTAACAGAGCGCTAAAGGAAACGTCGTTCTGGGAGGTCGCTATAACATGGCTCCAATGGGGATGTGTTACCGGACAGCGTTATCATTTTTTTTGCCGACCAGCAATTGTATACACAAGGGTTGCAGATGTAGATGCCACTGGTTCTTCACGTTCTGCAGATGTAGATGCCACTGGTTCTTCACGTTCTGCAGATGTAGATGTCACTGGTTCTTCACGTTCTGCAGATGTAGATGCCACTGGTTCTTCACGTTCTGCAGATGTAGATGCCACTGGTTCTTCACGTTTTGTAGATGTAGATGCCACTGGTTCTTCACGTTTTGCAGATGTAGATGCCACTGATTCTTCACGTTCTGTAGATGTAGATGCCACTGGTTCTTCACGTTCTGCAGATGTAGATGCCATCACCGCCATCGATTGCGCGGCATTTGAACTCACGACTCTCGATCCGAACAGGCAACTGGACACACTGATCAGGTTTGTTTGTATCTCTGAAAGTTCGTGAGTCGAATGTGCGTAGGTAGAGGAGTCCCCTATATTAAAGCATTTTATAAATTAAAAAAAAACCCCAATAACTTTTAATGATGACGTAAAAAAGACTTACGTGCTCACCAGCGCATTCGGACGGAGCCTTGCGTAAGATTAACCACACCTTCTTTGGTTCTTTCGGTAAAGTCACGTAGAATGAGAATAAAATAATAAAATAAAACAAATGAAATTCTCACGACGTTTCGGCCACAACACACGTGACTTTACCGAAAGAACCCAAAGAAGGTGAATCCTTGCAGTCACGAAAGCTTTAAATCGAAAATTAACCGCACCGTCTGCCACGGGAAGCTGCACCAACCAATGGGATTTGCTCGATCCGTGGATGACCCGCCGATGAATCGATGCGGTGGATGAAACCCCCCCTCGACGCTCATCACGTCGCTGCCGGCACGTGGTGGCGCCGAGTCGACACAACAGACGACCACTCCGACGGCGGGTTCCGCGTGGGATCGTCCACAGGGCAGCGTCGCTCCTGCGTCCCGTGTGCGGGAGGCTGATCCGCGCAGGTGTTTGCCCCCCCCCCCCCCCCCTTCCAGGAGCAAAGAGAGCGTTACGAGCGAAACGGCGGAGGCAGCGGCTACGTACGAGACGTGCCTGTGCCGACGAGCTTGTTGTGATGGCCGTTCATTGATAACAACTCTGACATCGCCCCCAACCTCCATATGATGTCGTCGTCCTTTCTCCCCGCTCCTCCGATTTTGTTTGTACCCTCCCCACCCCCCCGCGCGCGCGCGCGCGCGCGCATCTCCGATTAGCACGGTTGGCTAACGTACTGTGCGAAAGAAGTTCTGCATACATACAGTAGTGAGTGTAGTGTAGTAATGAGTGTAGTGTAGTAGTGAGTAGTATAGTAATGTGTAGGAGTAAGTAGTGTGTAGTACAGGGACTCCTCTACTTAAGCACATTCGACTTACGAAACTTTCAGAGATGCGAACTAAACTGTCCGTATGTCCAGCTTGCCTGTTCGGACCCAGGGTGAGTTCGAAGTTCATCTACATCTGCAGAGGATAAAGAACCGGTGGCATCTGCAGGAGATGAAACAACTTTATTAGCCGTCACCCATATTTAGTGTGCACATGTACGAACAGACCTCTGGCACCTAACTCTTCCGTAAGTAGATACGTCCCTGTAGTGAATGTGTTACGAGATGGAAAACTCATTTCTTTAGAACTGCTTATTTGTCTTGAGTTGTCCTTCTCCTCCCCCACACGACCCACCCCGGCGCGCCTCCGATTAGCACGGCCGGCTCGGTTACGGTGCGAAAGCAGTTCAGCACGTGGAACCGTGCGTCATTTCATCTCGATCTTATAATGCCCTCCTGTGAACGCACTTTATATCGCTCGCCCCAGCGGCAGCTGCCCCTTGCGGCGGGTATGAAGATTTCCCGCAGGTGTAATCCCAATTGAATAAATTGCACAAAAACGATCGTGAAGCGCATCCAATGATATCCTCCTAATGCGTCGCCTGATCCGTGTTTATGCGTCGCTGTGGAATTATGTGACATGCCCACTCATCCCTCTCCTGTGTCCTATAGTTTTGTGGGATCTGTCACTCGCCCCTCTCTTGTTCAGTGTCCTATAGTTTTGTGGGATCTGTCACTCGTCCCTCTCTTGTTCAGTGTCCT